CGTACAATATATGAATATCGTAATTAGGCAATTTCCTTTTCCGACGCACTAATTTCATGCCTGACCATCAACCTTTTGTATGCTGCTTCAAACTGTTGAGCGTTAGGATTGTTATTGAACCCTCCCCGACTTCTCAGAGCGCTAAAAAATGTTTCCAAATGATCTTGATTAAGTTTAAATGTTAATAAATAATTTAATTTTAATTGTTTTAAAACATTCCACAATTGAAATATATTTTTTAAACAGATAATAAATCCTAGAAAGCCAGTTTTTCTACTACTTCTTAGAATAGATTGATTTTGTACATTTTTTAAATCGCTTATATATTCTATAATTTTATCAACATGAGCTTTTAACTCGTCATAGTTTTTATTCGTTAAAGGTACTTTATAACTCGTTCCTCTTGAAAACTGACTACGCACGTTCAAGATATCAAAAGCGTTATTAAACACCGAGCAAAATTCAGCCGTTTTTTCTGGAGAATGGAATTGCTTATAATTACTTGTGTGCACATATTTGAGGGCAAAACAAACACTTTCACTCAGTGTTTGAGCAGCTAGCTTAACATTCATTCTATTGTTTTGATAGAAAATGTGTTTTTTTGTTAATTTTGTACCAGCACGCAACCCTTCTTCTTCCTCCAGCTTTTGCAGGAGCACAATATCCTGCCAATGGATATCTGCATTTTTACTTTTCATAATTTTTTGATCACCCAAAGTATTTCGAACTAATTTTAACATATGACATGGATCAAAAAAACAAAAGATTTTTTTTTCGTTACAGGATTGATAAAATATGGCTTAAAAGCAGTTCCTAATTCAAAATTTGCACCTAAATATTTGCACATATTTATGTTAACGCTAGCTCCATCAAAAGTTACGGAATGCACTTCTACTCCTGTCATTTCTATCAACTCCAGGCATTTTTCTAATAAACTGGCTCTCTCAGCTCCATTTAACGAGTTCAGTAAGAAATATCCTACAGGAATTTTCCAGTGGCCGTTGATCGCGACAAGCATGAAAACTAGGGCGTTTGTTGCTTTAAGTGAATGATCTACATGAAAAGCGTCATTATGATCAACTCCGAAATCAATAAGTCCATAGTATCTTTGTCCGTCATAAGTTACTTGTTGTCGAATCGCTATTTCGTCTATTACGATATTACAAATAATCGGATTATCACTTTTTTCAACTTGACACTTTAGAGCTTCAAATGCTTCTGCAGTAAATCCAGGGCGTCCATTCAATACTGAATACCATTTTCGAATTGTAGAGGGTTCAGGTAAAAGATTACAGAAACTCTTTCGTACGTAATTGTAAGCTTTTGAAGAATAAAAGTTTAACGTAAGAGTAAATGCTCTTAATTCAGGTAAATATTTTTTTTTCTTAGTTTGCTTGCGTTTAAAGATTTCTCGCATTGGGTCAGGTAATTGTGTCTGAAAAAAATCAACGTGTATACGTGATTACATTATTTTATTACGCTTGTGCACTGAAAATTAATCTTATTACTATATACAATTTTTTCAAAGGTTGTATTCATAGTCCATTTTTATTCTTAGATTATCTTAAATACTGTCTTAAGATACTAATATGACTTTTTAATCGATTCATAGCATTTTAAGATCATATTTAAAACAATCTTAAATATAAGAACGGATTATGAATACTGTCCAAAATGTACCATTAAGCAATCGACAGCATTATCTGATATGAAATTCTTCTTCTTGAGGTGATCTATTAAGTCTTTTATAGTTTTAAGACGCTTTTTCAATCTACCAGTAGTTTGTTGTAATGTTAAAATTTGTCTTCTTTGTTTCTTTACTACCAGCTTTGCTAAATTAAAAGCTCTCTTAGCTCTTCGTGGTGTAGCTAAATGTGGTGTCTTAATATCACCAATATAACGTGGTTCATTATAACGTGGAGAGTTTGGAGGAGTTACATTTATCAATGAAACTACATCAATGGTACCTGATAAATAATAATAATTAGTGAAACTATTTTCTCATGTAATGAATAATTAAAGCTTGCATCAGATTATGCAACTTGTTGCAGCAATTCACAAGCGATCTAATAAATTACTAGTATACACTATAGGTCTGTTCTTTATAGCTGAACTGGCTGTACTAGTTCAGAGTTTATCTTTTTCCTTCCACATTGGAAGGAGAAAGATAAACTCTGAACTAGTGCAGCCAGTTTAGCTATAAAAAACAGACCTTATGTGTTGTATGGTTCATTTTTAGTAATTTACTAAATCACTTGCGAATTGCTGCAACAAGATGCATAGTCCAATGCAGATTTAAGATTTTACTTGTGAATATGAAATGTTAAAGTGATACTTCATAAATCATGACACATTTAAAAAACTCACTGTGATGAATTTCTTCTTCATCTGGAATTAGTTCATTCAAATTTTCATCAGCTATATGTTGAATTGAAGTATATGCTTCCTCTTCACAGATATTTACCATTTTGTTCCGTTTTATATCAATTTCCTCATGTTTGCAATCTTTATCATTATGGCTCCTAAAATTATGTTTTATATATATAACTAAATCAAATAATTTGTTTTACATAATACAGTTTGTCTTTTCATGTACATATCTTTTTCTACTTTTGATATAGTAAATAGATGGTATGCTTCTATTTTTTAAAACTTTATTTTTTGTTGTGAGAAGATAATCTTTTTCTGTGAAGTGATTTGAGCATAAAAAAGTGGAAGTTTTGAGAACAACTTCATCAAAATTACAAAATTTTAGCCATTCTGGTCTTATTTGCACATTATTTGGAAATCTGCAAAAATTGGAATGTAATTTTATTTAACCTAAAATAATCATGCAAGACATAAAACACATGTATTTATTAGAAGCTGTTATTATTAATATTAGAAGCTGTGAAATACATTTACTTACTTGTGATAAGATACTGTTTTGTCACGATTACCACATAAAACACAATATCGAACCATTTTACATTTAAAATTAACGATCTCGTACACAGAAAACAACAAATCACAAAAAAACTGTGAAAATTGATGAAAATATTACGATCATGTGTTGTTCTAAAATCTGAAATTTTGATTGGTGGAACTTGGTCATGCGCATAGAGAAGAATAGTCATTGAGTAGGACAAAAAGATACTTCTGTCCTTTAGATCTTGCTCACAGCTCGTCACCCCGTATTCCTCTTCCATTTACTATAAGTTCTATGGATTATACGCGCGCGATAGAAGTGCGTACGTATCACTTCCGTACGTTTGAGTCAAACCTGAGATTATACGTGTGCGAAAGAAAACCGAATAATACTGCAAAAGATATTATAGGATTGATCTCAGTATTTAACGGATAATCACAGTAGAATGAGTATGAAAATGGGATGATACGCAGGATATCGTGTGCTGTTAGGGGAATGAAGCTGTTGGATGGATAATGCCACGACAACTTCGTAGATTATTTGTACAAATATTATTACATTGTCAGCCGCTACATCCTGAAAAACTATGGGAAAACTTTAAAATAGCGTTATCGGAAGATTATGTTCGACATTTTGGTGTGTTACAAAGACAAAGGAAGACATATACAAATCAATAGTATACTTTGTACAGAAGGTAAAAGTCTTGTTGATTTTCCACAAATGGAACAATTGTTAGAAACTGAATTGTTAGATGAAGAAAATGATTATATAACACTTGAACATGCTATGGAAATAGGTACTAAACAATATAAACAATTAAATGATAAACAAAAGGAAATAGTTGATCTTGTATTAAATAGATTAGATAATAATATTTATAATAATAATTATTGTTTTTATACCGATGGTCCAGGTGGATCAGGTAAAACATTTATATACACAACTATTTATTATTTAGCTAAAATTAGAAATAAATATGTGTGTACAATGGCTTTTACGGGTATTGCAGCGACATTATTGCCTGCTGGAAAGACAGTTCATAAGACATTTGAATTGCCAGTTCCATTATTTGCTGATTCATCATCTACTATTAAAATCCAGTCAAAAAAAGCTCAATATTTGAAAAATACAGATATTTTTATCTGGGATGAAACACCAATGGCGCCACGATATGCTTTAGAGATGATGGATCGACATTGCGTGATATTATG